AGCCCAGCCTCAAGAGGACGGGGACCTCGATTCCCATGATTGATGGGAGTAGCAGCCACACCACATTCTGAGGGGCAAGGATGCGGGAAGTCCATTTTATGATACACATCTACTGCCCAGCAACCAAAGGACAACACAGATGCCCCCAAAAGGTCCCCATAGAAGCATCATGACATCTAAGTGGTTAAGAGTGCAAAGTCTAGGAATGCGGGTTCAAACAATAACTTGCCCGGGAAGGGGACAGTGAGCATGTTTGTGACCCACAGATTTTTGGATGAGGAAACCCCTGCTTCCTTCCAATTCAAAGATGTAATCAATTTAGCACCGTGTTTTCGAGTGTAATGCAAACAAACTCTGTCATGAATTTAACGGTCTGTTCAGCAGATGGAATGAGACTCTTAGAACAGCGGGGCAGAGACGGAAACAGGATCGGAGACCTGTTCTTCCACACCCAGAGAAAAACCAACCGCGCGACCCTCAGCTCTCTCCACACAGTCTCTATGTTTAAGTCTTGCAAGTAGTAAGGTGGAAGTCGCTCGCGCTCTCTCTCTCTCTTGTCGTGAACAGACGATGAATTAATGTTTGTGAGAGTCATCTTTGAAAAGGGAAAAGCATGATTATGCATTGCCCCTTCGCTCTGCCCGGGTGACTTCTTTCAAGTAGCCGCATGCTATTTTTTTTGGTGTCCGGTTCTCCCTTTTCTTCCCTCTGGGGTCACTGACAATGTTCTTGTCTTTGCTTTATCTGATTTCTCTCTGAAGTCCAGCCAGGTGCCCCCAAAAGATGACAGAACTGAGTTTACCAGGGTGCTTCCTGGTACATTTCGATTTCAAAGTACACTGCGGGTTCTTAATACATGTTAAACAGTAACGACCGCCAGCTGCTCCTGCCGCCTTGCTCTGTACTGGCCCCTCCTGTCCCTCCTGCAAGGGGTGGATAAACAGAGGAACATTCGGAGCAGAAAGAAGACAGTGTCCCCTGTCACTCCAGCCCCAGTCGGAAGGCCCTGGCTTGTGAGCAGGAGGACCCGTATCCATCCATCCCTCCAGCCTCGATTTCTGCCTCTGTAAAACGGGGATGCAGGACCCGGATTTGGTGAGGTAGGGAAGGTGGAGTCCTGAAAGGTTAAGGAGTTCAAAGTGGAGTTTTTGCATTAACTTTGATTTTCAAAGTCGCAGTGAAATGTTACCTGAGGGCTTGAGTTTTCTGATGTCCTTTTAGGTTTGTGACAGAGGTAAGTGCCCACTCTCCTGCCTCACCCTAGTCTTGGCCCCGGGTGATAGTGGAGTAAATGAGGCGACACAGGAGCATGAGTGGCAGGCTGGCGGCAACCGCCCAGCACAGGTGAGCTCTGCTTCTGATGGCTGCTTTCCTCTCTGCCATCCCATGACAGGGAAACTGAGGCTGGGGACTGAACCCAGGGCCTCGTGCTGCAAGGCAAGTGGGCTACCACGGAGCTAAAGCCCCAGCTCCCCAGCCCTACCACACAGCTCCTTGGTGGCCTCTGTCTCCTCCACTGGGCTGGGCCTGAGACTCCTCCAACCGTGCCCATCCTCTGGCCCTGCTGCCTGGAACACAGACCCATCAAGCACATCCATGGAGTGAAAGATTGTGAGCATGCGTGAACGGCCGACGTGTGCACCCAGGGCATGCGCTCTAATGCTCTGTCTTTTGAACACCCAGCTTCTCGTTTGCCAATAAGGACAATCAGAACACCAACACCATGGGATGTCATAGGTGACTCTATCAAACCACATAGAAAATCTTCAATAAATAGTAACTTTTTATTTTCCTTTCAAATCCTAAAACCCCAAAGAAGTGGCCCTGGGCTCCTTCACAGCAACAGGATTGATGTTTTGGACTGGTGCTGTCCTCTGCATTTTACAGGATGACCAGCAGCGCAGTGGCACTCCCCAGGAGACAATCAAAAACCCCCTGAAGGACAAAGTCACCTCTAGTAGAGAACCCCTCGTGTGGCCCACTGTCTCAGATTTTTTTTAGAGAAAAGTCAATACTTCTTATGATGTCCTTATTTTCTCGGTAATTTGCAACATTAAGGGAATTAGCATTGGGTGGACACATATTAAAATAAGAAGAAGAAGAATGAAAAGAGTAAATATTAGAATGATATATGATATTAACCGAGCGCCTATTGGGTTCTAATCTACACTTGATGCTGTAGGGACATCACCTCCTGGCCGCATCTCCACAGGGCAGCTAGAATCGTTCCATTTTCCAGATGAGGAAACCGAGAGTCCGAGGGGTCAGATGACTTTCCATAGCCACTCACCGGAGAGTGAGTGGCACACCTGGATTCCCACCCAGATGAGCCTGGCTCCAGAGCTTGCCTCTGTCCCACAACTCTGTGGGCCTTTCAAAAATCCATCTGCATTCCAATCCCCCGTTGAATAATCTCCATCTGACTGTCTCCACCTCTTACCCTCCATCCCCCACCAGATGTTCGAGAATGAAAATATCTGAGAAAATAAGCTGCATTTCTAAAAATGTACCCCCAAATGTCTGGAAGGCTCTTGCACGGGTGATTAAATTAAGAGAAAGTATGCTTAAACAGAAAGGCCCCTGCCAAATTGAATTCCTGTGGGCCATGTTGTTTTTGGATGAGAAGCAGGGCCCTCCGTGGAAGGTTAAAGTGAAGGCAAATCTGTCCCCGAGAGCAGCCTGCAGGTTCTCCAGGGACCAGCCCATCGGACGATTCCTCTTCATTTAATTTCTGAAGTGTCCTTGGAGAAAGAGCTTGAGCCACTTGGGGCATGTGGCAGGCTCCAGAATCTGCCATAGAAGAGAGGAGGAGAAGAGCACCCCGGAAGCCTGGCCAAGTGCTCCTTGGCCTGGGGATCCTGGATCAGCCGTGTCCACTTGGCCTGGGAGCTCGTTAGAAATTCCTATTCCCAGGCGCCACTCCGAGGCGACTGAATCAGAAACGGTTTTCAGGAGCCATCCAGGGGACACTGATGCTACTGGCCTCATCCACCATCGGCGTCCCCTGCCCCCCAGCCTAGCCTCATGGCCTGGCCTCTGCTGTCTCCCAGCCTCGGTCCCCACCTGTTGTGGACTGCCCCAAGAGCACAGGCACTCCCAGTTCCCCCAGGATCCAGTCCCTCTGGACGCCAGACCTGGTCACTGCTGATAAGCCTTCCCTTCTGCCTGAGCTGGTTCGTCTGCAGGGGAAGGTACCTCTTCCCAAGAGGTCAGCCCTCAAAGTCAATGGAAGTCTGCATCCTCGTTTTCAACCAACTCTGCCACAAAGGGTGTCCATCTGCCTTTGACTCTTCTTGACCTTAAAGGAGACAAGTGTCAGCAATCCCGTGTCATTCAGGGACTGCCACCAGGAGCTCTTGAGAAAACACCTGGTACCATGGGGTACTCCCAGCAGGTAATGAGTGTGTTGTTAGGATCTGAGGCCTTGTACCAGGAATATTTATCAACCCCCACTCCCCCATTCCAAGCTCCTTTATACAACACGAGGGCTGGCCTTGATTTTCACGCTCCAAAGAATCCTTCATTGTTTCCAGGTTGACTTTCTTGATGGCCACCAATGTTGGGCCTCTAAGTAGCACTGGCCTCCCTACCAAGAAACTACAGCCCATTTTCTAGAAATAGAAGTCCAGAGGCTTTACCCCAGTCTTCATGCATAAAGATGTCTGGTGAACATCACACCATTCGGTTGGACACTCAGCCAGCATCCTGGTCAGGGAGCGCTCATTTTTCGTTGGCCCGTGTGGCGGTTCTCCACCATCTAGAGCCACTCTGACATGTCTGTTTCCAACTTTCCAGGCCACACTGGGTATGTGCTTTGCAGAGGCTGTTCGTAGTAGCCCGAAGCCCGGGGCTCAGTGAAACTGGATGACGCCCCTGGCAAGAGAGAGGACACTTAGCAGCTGAGGGTCACCTGGCGAAAAGCCCTCTGTTGGGAGACAGGGAGGAGTAGCATCAGGGAGCACAGAACCCAGGGAAGGTCAACGGCAGAGCACAAGCAGTTAAGTGATGCAGGGGTTCCGCTGCGCCCTGTGCCAATGTATGGTGAAGTGACACATGTTTCTGCTTTAAGCGATCAGTTTTTACTTTTAACACTGAAGATTAAAATTAAGTGCATTACCATAGATCAGTTTACAGGGATTCGGTACATCTGTTTTGGAGATGTAAAACAAAACGGAGTAACATCATTATATGTGTTACCAGAATTGGAGCAGAGGATCCGAGTCAGGCTGGGCCGCCTGCTACCACACCATGCCACGGGATTCCTCCCACTTGGTGGGGAAGACATTTGGCCAGGGATGGAGACAGCTCTGCCCTCCCCAGATACAAGGAGGTGCCAAGACATAGTCCAGAATCCCTGGGGCCAGGTACCAAATACCAGCCACCTCTTCAACCATGATTGAAGGGTCGGTGGCTGTTGCTGGAACTCAGCCGAGGCCCTCGCTGCTGGCCCTCACGGCCAGCTTGACACCCCACGGCACGCTGCTTGCCAAGGGTTTTACACTGAACTCTGAGGTCCAGCCCAAAGGGAGAAGACTGGCAAGTTAGATTATTGCTCCAATAATGAGAGAATGGTTTCTGGTTTGCTATTTACACTGCTCTCTGGGAGAGAAAATAAGTCTTCCAACTGAAGTACTCCAATTTCTACTATTTATCCAAGATTACACATATAATCCCATAATAAAACACCGGTCCTGCCCAGAACACACAGTGATTGCCTACAGATGTGCCCAAACCAAAACATCTGCACATCCAAAATGGCCACCAGCGTGATATTTCATCTACCGAGGGTCGACAACCCAAATGCCTAATTAACTTCTGAAACTTGCAGAGTGAAAATCCCAGATAGGCTATGAAAAGGCACACTGGTGACAGAGTCATGGCATCTTGGATGTGCTGCCTGAGATGGAAGGCCACGCTGTGCCTGACATCAAGTAACACCTTGTAGTCTGAAGAAGTTTGGCCCCAGCAGCATGCCGTCACTGACACATGAAAATAAAATACCCTCCTAATGGTGCCTGGCACAGCGTCAGGAAAATACCTCATCTGAATTTTTATTCGGCTGACAAATGATGTGCGTCTCTGCCTTTATCAGGCTGCTTCTATTAAATATCTGAGTGCAGAGAAGATTTCTTAATTTGCTCGTTTCTCATGGTACCCTGCAGAAGGGGAGCCCAGAATGGAAACGCATCAAGAGGTAAGAGAGACATCTACCTGCTCGCAGCCCAGAGCCCTGGCAACGGCGGGGGCCCCGTTGGATCAGATCACATTAGCATCTCAGCTCTACTTTGATTTGTCTCTCAATATACTGTTTAAAAATGTAACCCAATCACCAAACCCTACAAGCAGTCTGTTTATTATTACTTTTGATAGAAAGGTTCATAACATCCTGTAATGTGTGTGCATTTTTTATTCCGTTTGGCTACGAGACACTGAAACCATCGGGGACATTTATTAAAACGCATTCAGCCGTTCTTTAGGATGAGGTTAATGTGGGATTTATGCCTCTGTGGTGCTCCGTGCGCAGAGCGGTAATAATGCTTGTTTAGTACTTAGTTCACGTACAAAATGGTCGGCTATAAAAATCGAAGGAATAGAAAGATCGGCTAGAAGCGCACAGAATGGAGGGCGATTCCCTCAAGTTGGGGGCCGAGAGAGAAGACCAGCTTGGAGAGGAGAAATTCATTCTCCTGCAAGATCTGATTCCCTGGTGCAATCAGAGTGTGGGCTCCCAGAAGCCGGGCTTGATCAGCTCAGGCCTGACAACCTGCCCAGGCCATTCTCTGCCAGGCAGCCCCGTGAGAGATGCTCCCTGCGTGGCCACACTTGTGCGCCCGATGCCTCCCTGGTTCCTTTCTACCGCACAAGCCCATGGCCTTCAAATCGACAGGAGCCTTCAAGAGGGCCAGAGGGCTGGGGGCAGAGCCAGCCAGACATCCGGGCTTGGGCTCCTCCGGTATCCAAAGCAGATGGGCTCGGCGAGATGGGGATCAAAATTCCAAGCAGCTTCCTAACGATTGGCCACACGTCTGGGCATCAGGCGGGACGCGCATGTTTCCTACACATGTTGGTGATGTGTTTGCTTCCAAGAGCAGAAGGGATCCAGAAAAGCCCCCTGGAAACTGCCCAGCTCCATCCCCAGGAAAACCTGTCCATTCGGGGAGCTGCTTCCTTGTGTGAGCAGCTGGAGGCCAGCGTCCTGCTTCCCCGTGGGAAAGCGGGGGTTTTGGGGACCTGTGAATGCACCGTCTTCCCTCCGGCTGCATCCCAGCTCAATGCATGGGCAGAAGCACGCACGGCCAGGAGGATCCAGCCACTCTCCAGCTGCTGCGGAGGGGCTGTGGGGGCCAGGCTGGATGGAGGGCTGCCTGGTTTCCACCCCAGTGAGAGGCTGGAAGGGGAGTCAACACTACTGACCTGAGCTGCAAGCGTGTCCCCCTCTAAAGTCGGCAGGAGGCTTGTGACTAGGCACCCTGCTTCCCACCTTACCCCTCCAATCCCTTCACCCAGTGCAGCCCCAGGGACCATCTTAAGAGAGAAATCAAACCCAGTCTCCCTGTCACCCTTTCAAGCCTTCCTGTGGCTTCCCACCACACGGGGGACATCCAGTCTCTTCCCAGAGCCCGCCGGCCCCCCATGCCATCTGGTTCTCGCCTCTTCCCACTGTTTCCTGTCTCCCCATGGGTCCTTCTGCAGCAGCAGCCACCCTGGCCTGCCTTCTGTGGAACAGAGTGCCAAATGACACCCTCCACGCTCCAGCTCAGGGCCTGGTCCCCCTGTCTGGGACGCTGCACTCCAGACATTTGCATAGCTGGGTCCTCATTACACAGAGCTCAGCTTCCACGTCCCCACCTGGTAGTGACCGATGGAACATGCGCCACATCACTCTCTTCAACAGCCCTCTATTTTGATCCGTGTAGCACTGAGAGCAATTTTCCCCCTTGTCTATTTGCGTCTACTCAGCCCCTGTGCTAGGAAATGAGCTTTCTGAGAGCAGAGTTCTTGCCTGTCTGTCCATCTCTGTGCACTGATTCCTCCAGCGGGGCCAGGGCTCCACAGATGAGGAGTCACTGCAGGGACGAAGCTCAGCAGTTGCCAGGTGAAGTGCCTACCCAAAGGACACAACCCAGCAAGAGGATACAGGGAGGCTGCAGCCAAGACCTGGCATCTCTGCTACAAAGCCCATGGACCGCAGCTGATGGGCAACTCACCAGGAGGGTGCCCCATTTCCCAGATGACCCCCGTAAGAGGTAAGTCAGTCTGTTCTAACAAGCATTTTGGACAACTGGTCCTTGTCCCCATGTCCCTACCTTCCCCATCCTGAGGCTGGTCTAGATTTCTGCCCCTGGTGGTTGCCGTGTGCATATTTGGTTTACATGAGGTCCAACAGGCCAATTCAAGAAAGCACATCCTGGTCCCTGCCTCTCCCTCTGGGAACCTCTCCCTCACCCCAAACCACCCTCTTCCTGCTCAAACACCCTCATGCTCGCATGTGCAGAGTCTCCTTCCACAACTTCCTGCCTGGCGGGCCACCCTCCCTCACCCCACCTGAAAATGTTTTTTTTTATGTTTTATTTTATTTTATTTTATTTTCCCTTAGTGTGCACAGTAGGAACCACAGCGGGTCGTGGAAAACCATGGAAAGAAGAGTCGACTCGACTGCCAATCACATTTTTTTAAATGGGTCCTCTGGCTTCCGCCAGCTTTTCCTACGTGCCTGCGGCTGAGCTGGGGAATTATCCTCGGGTACCATTTGCACTCCTGGCACTGCCCCACCACCATGTGTGTGAGACGCGTCCCCCGTCCCAGGGCGGGGTGTCTTGCTTACTTACACTGAATGACGAATGTTTCCACAGCTGCAAACAAGGCATTTTCGCTAAGAAGTTGGGCCTGATGGAGAAGCAAGCTGCCGACATTGTTACTGGTGTTTGAATGAAGAAAGAAAGGGAGGGAGGCACCCTGCTTCCTACCTGACCCCTCCAATCCCTTCACCCAGTGCAGCCCCAGGGACCACCTTCTGGGGGCACTGGGGCAAATGGCAGGTCCCAGGAGGTTAAATAGAGTGGACTTCTGCTGGTGTCTTCACAGGCGAGGAGGAGTTGAGCTGGAAATAAACCAAACAAACCGAAATGGGCAAAGTCCTGCTACATACACCACGCCAAGAGCATCCCTGAAAATAAGCATGAATCCAGGGCTTGCTCTCTGCCACGCACGTGTATCACCCCGCCCGATCCTCACTACAGCGGCAGGAGTAGATGGTCCTGTTGTTACCGACGAGCACAGGAAGATGAGCGGAATTTCCAGGGCTAGGAGTGGAACAGAGTGCCAAATGACAGCTGTCAGACTCTTTGCTTCTATGCTAAATCCTTCCATCGTCTATGTTTCATGGGCAGACTTTAAAAAGGATCTTAAATTCAGCTGCCAAGGGAAGCACCTGAGGTGCTCTTCAGAAAAAAATACCATATTAGCTTTTTGTGGCTGTGACCAAAATACTTGATGAGCAGAGACAAACTTTATTTTGGCTCAGGGTTTCAGAGGTTCCGTCCATGGTCATTCAAATCCATTGCTCTGGACCCAAGATGAAGCAAAATCATGGCAGAAGGGCTTGGTAAGACAGCTGCTCACTTCCTGGCAACCAGGATATGGAGAGAGAGAAGGAGGAGCCAGGGGACAAGACACACCCCCAAGGGCATGCCCCCAGGGACCCTCTGCTCCAGCCATGCCCCACCTGCCTATGGTTACCTTCCACATTAGTGATCCAGCCAATGAATAGGTCATATATATATATAATATATAATATACTTATTTATATATATATATAATATAACTTAATCCACTGATTAGGTTATGTCTCTCACAATCTAATCATTTCACCTCCAACATCAACACAGGAACTTGGGGGGACCCTCATATCCAAACCATAACTAACATCAATGCTCAGACCCTAGCTCAGACCTATGAAGTGCCCCCAGACGTCGATATTTTTCAAAAAGTGATTCTAACGGGCAACTAGGCTTGAGATCCCCCACTTGGTTCTCAAAGTGGGGTTCCCTGGGCCAGCCGCACCGGCAACATCTGGGGACTTGTTAGAAACGCAAAGTCCTGTCGTCCTATCGAATCAGAAACTTGGAGGCTTGAGCCCAGACTCTGATGGTTTAACAAGCCCTTTAGTGAATTCTAAAACAATTCAGATAACCATTGCTCTTTCCAGAATATAAACTCCATAAAGGAAAGAGAACGTGTACCTCTTGTTCTCACCTTGAATTCTCAGTACCTAAAGACCAAAATGAAACAAAGGGCTCTGCTTACAACAGGATGTGGATACTGTTTCCATTATAGTCAGAGACCCAGAATGGGCATTTAGATCCAACTTTGCAGAGTTAGTTAAGAATTCCATTAGCTACCTGTACTAAAATCTTTGCAGTCCAAAACTGTTTAGATATTTTGTTCATTTTTTTCCCCAAAAAAATAGGCTACAGAGACCATGAAATTAGCACCAAACATAGTGGCCACGTGGGCCTGCACCTGCTGTGATTAGTGCTGGCTACGGAGGCTGGTAGCTTATCAGCAAGTCTGTTGTGTCTTCTGCCCTTGCAGCCCCAGAAGGCTGAGGACAGCGCATTTTGACAAAGACAAGAGAATTTCCCTAGCAGTTGAATTCATCCTGCATTCTTCTGCTCAGCCCAACACCCAGACAGGGCCGTAGATAGCTTCATCAGAGAATTAACTCTCCTTACAGCTCCACTCATTAAAGAAGGGAGATGGGTTGTACCTTTCGATGGCGGCTGTCTTCCCTTTCTACCTCCTGACCACACATGCTCAGAAAATGGCTCGGAATCACGACAGTGCTGCAAGTGAGCAGTGATTAAATTTGTCCCCACAATTGATGTGTCTGTGACTGGAAGAGGGGAGGGGGTGCTAGAGAGCAATCAGCAATCAATGGTGAGAAGGTGACCTGATACCACAATCTTCTGCAGCTGTGATCAATATCGCTCCGGCTTGGGCAGAGCCCTTCCCCATCTGCACCGCTCCCTCTCGATAGAGTTTATTCTTGTATAAATACCTTCAATAAATAGTGCAGGGAGAACACCCAGGGATACTTTAAATTACATCCATATCATGCAACGGCAAAAGCGAGTTCCACTGGGGAGAATCTGTCTCTCAGAACCAAACATGCTTTTCCTTTAAAAAGCTCATAATTGGTTATTTACACACTCCACGACTTTGCATTTATGCCACATCCCGATTATCATAAGCATTTCCAATCTGACAGAGCCTGGTGACAGTGCACCGCGGCAAGCGCCTCTCATTTCCGATGCAACTAAGTGGAGAGGGTGAGAAGCCATGATTCACTCTCTGTGATTTGAATAAGAGGACGCCCAGGCTATCTCCACGCCGGGGCTGTGTGCGAACACATGTGGCCCCAAAAACCCTGCCTGACACCCTTTAGGAGTCGAAAGCATTGTAGGGGCCAAGATTCCTTTTTGTCCTTGTTATGGGCGGTGGCGGTGTTGTCTGCCCCTCTCTCCTGGTCTGGAAGGAGGGCAGGGGGAGGATCTGGTGCTGTCGAAAACAATGCCGCCCCACGGATAGGGGTCCAGGGTGCAGGTTGGCGAGAAGCAACATCAATTACGTGCAGATCAATTTAATCGCAAGCCCCAGAGCACCGGGAAGACAAAGGCTGTACCGCCACCTCCCCTGGCGGCTGGGGCTGCTGGGGCTGCTGCGCTAAGCGTGCGGGGCCAGGCGGAGGAGGTGGCCACCCTTAGGGAACCCCATGGAAATGCTCCTGTTGATCACACCTTCCTGGTGGGACAGGATCCAAGCACAGCTGGCCTCTACTGCAAGGTGGAGCCTTAATGTGCCTACTTCTCCCCACGTCCACGGCTGCCACCAAGCCTGAGCCCAGACTGTCGGTCTCCCGGTGTCTCCCACTCTGGCCCACCCCAATCCATTCTCCCCGAAACAACCAAGTGATCTTTTTAAAAGGATCAATCAGGTCCTTGAACACCTGGGTTTAAATCCCTGCCCTGTCACTTGGAATCACTAGACTCTGTAGGAGGTGGCCCGCCCTTGTTCTCCCAGGTGGTCAGCTAGACCCCAGGGAGGACGGACTTTTTGTACCTGGAACACACAAAGCCAACCCTGACCTCAGGGCCATGGCCAAAGCTGTGCCCTCTGGCTGGATTGTCCTTGTGCTTTCCCCGTATCTTCACATGGCTGGCTCTCTAATGTATGCCACTGTCACCCAATAGGCTGCATGTAATATATGCATAATGTGCTCTACATAATGTCCCTGTTGTAATGGAGCATGCATCTCTCTGCACCTGCCTGAGCTCAAACGTCACCTCTTTCAAGAAGCCTTCCCTGACTTCCCACCCACTGTGCTTCCTGGCCTTTCTCCATCTGGCTCTGACCTTCACTATTGCATCGCCACAATGTGTCTCCTTCACAGCATCACCCCATCTGTGCCCGTGCTGCTGCACCTCCCACCTGCATGCTATCTCCATGAGACTGGGCCTCAGCTCCTGGCTCCCTGCTCCATCCACACCACCCAGAGCAGCGCCCGCACCCAGCAGGGGAAACACAGGGTGAGTGAATGAATGAGAATCAGGAGATGCCCCCATCTGCCCTGAGTCCCGGTTCCACGCACTTGACCACTAATGTCCTTTCTCTACCTGCAAAATTAGGGAACCCCCCAGGGAGCCCCCTGAGCAGAGGCCATGGCTGTGGTGAACGCCCCACCCGTGGGGCCGTGGGGCCTCTGCTTCTGCTGCGTTCTGCCCACCTACGGGCAGCTCTATTCCACTGGCCCCAGGCCTCCGCACTTTGGAGGCCCCTCCTGCAACCCCTAGGCTTTCGGCTCCACTTGCACCACCAGGGTGTGTGGTCCCTTTCAGGAGGACTGGCCCTGCAGCTCCTGGATCCCTGCAGAGAGGAGCCCATGGCCCCTTACAGGGCCCCCACCCATGCTGGGTCTTCACCCACTCTGTCCATCTGCTCCAGCCTGGGCTTGGCCTCTTCTGTCCCCTCTCCTGTCAACACAACCACCAAAAGGTGGCCCTTTAGGATTAGAACCACTTCTCCAGAACCATGGATTCTGTGTTTGATTTCTAAACTGGGTTGTGGTTCAGAACCTAGCATCAGGGAATGAGCAGAATTCAAACCAAGGCCCTTCTATTTACGAACTCTGTGACCTCGATCAAGTTGCTTAGCTGGTCTGGGCCTCAATTCCCCCATCTCTAAAATAGGGATAACTAATATTTAAATGAGGTTGATTTCAATGATGTTTGTAGAATGATGACCTATTGTACTGCTCCATGAAAAGGAAACACACACAGGAAAACACAAGCGCGCGCGCGCACACACACACACACACACACAGTAGATCTCTGTTCTTTTCTCCTGTTAGCACGGGTTTATTGTATCTACTGTCCTTGGAACTACTCCCACTCCCCACAGCTATAAATTATCCATTTTCCAGCCTTATAGCATTTAACATTTGAAGTTTTCTTTAGTGGTTTCAGCTGCTCATCCATTTATTCCACAAGCATCATCTGAGGGCCTATGGGTTCTTGGGCCCTTTGCTATGAACAAGGGACACAAGTGGCCTGTCATGTCTGGGCTTCCTGCCTGCCCTGTGGAGTTGACCGTCCTACGGGGGAAACGGGGAGGAGAGAAGGGAAGGAGCAGGTACGAGGGGTTGCGTGTCACAGAGGAACTCAGGGACAGACACAGAGGAGAGTGGGGCACGGACCAGGAGGGGGACACGTTAGCTCGAGCCACTACCAAGAGGCCCTGAGGAGAGGGTGACTTTAAGCCAAGGCAAGGAGGGCATGAAGGGACTTCAGTCAAGAGGACATTGGGAAAAGTGTCCCCATGGAGGGTGTCCTGTGTGAGAACTCCACCAGCAGAGAGAGCTCGGGGCACCCGGGGGATGGAGAGGGGCCTCCACGGATGCGGGGAGCCAGGCCACGGGGCCCACAGAGCAGGGACACGGCTCTGGGAGAAGAAGTGAGCAGTACAGGCTGTCGGCCCTCCCTGCCCAAACTGCCTCCTGAAGTCCAGAGCTGCAGGTCTCTACAGCCTGCTCCCTGCTCACCCCCTGCAGGCCCCAGGAGATGGCACCCGGTCTCAGGTGCCCATCACAGAGAGGGCAGCCTCAGGAAGCTCTGGGAAAAGGAAAGCAAAACTCAGTGACCGCCACATACTGAAGATGAGGCTCACAACACGACCAGAGGCTGTCCTCCAGTCTCTATTCAGACAAAAGCGAAGCAGGAGAAGCGCCCAGCCCAGGCCCCAGGGTGATGCTGGAGCTCCCGGGGACCCACGTGGCCTGGCTCTGAGCACCTGGCTCTTCCACAATCAGCCTGTGGCCCCAGGATGCCCAGGGTGAGCCGACTCCCTTCCTCACCATTCATAGACCCAGGGCCACCACCCCTGGCCCCCAGGATGACCCCCCAGTTGGCAAATTGCAGAATTTGTGCTGTTCAAGAGATAGCCCACCGTCTCCCCTCCGCCACGAACCCCACTTCTGTTCTCCCTACACTTCACCATTAGAGAGTAATTGCTTTGTGCTTTGCAGGCTCAACATTTACAAACAGATGACTTGGGGGGGATGGGTAAGTCATGCGCCACCCACTTGGAGGAGGCCACCGAGCAATTGTCCCTAGCTCTAGCAACACATTAGGATCACCTGTGACACTTTTTTTGTTTTTTGGACAGACCCGACCTGGGCCACCCTCCAGAATAGTAGAAACCAAGTCTCCAGAGGCTGGACCTAGGCTGGACCTAGACACCGGTACCCAGCGTGCACGCCCTGGGTGGTTCTGACGCAGCGTCAGTGCCAAGAACTACTTCCACGGACAAACCTGTGGCTTCTAAAATGTTCTCCTGGGGGACACCCCAGGGATCATGCGCACGCAAATGGCCCCAAGAAGCCAGCTGCGGACTGGGGACTGTGCTGTGTCTCCCACAGCTGAGCTGCCTCCGGCGGCAGGGGCCCTTGGCCATGGGCGGGACAGAGGTCCTAACCCACCAGGGTTTCTCCATGCTCCTGGCACAGCGGCTGCGCTGGGAAGAGGAGATCTGACTGACACCAGCAGGCAGGGAGACGCGTCCGGAACCCAGAGCCTGTCCAGGGCGGGGAGGACGTTCCAACTCAGGAATCAGAAGTAAGTCGCTGTGGCACACTTCGGTGTGACATGCACAGTCCAGTCCCCACCGCCTCCGCCGCAGCCTGCCTCGAAGGATTCAGGGAAAATGAAAATTAATGGGCTGGGAAGGTAATCAGCAGTGAGCCCCACTCCTGTTAATAACCACCCTTCATCACAGGTAGAATGAGACAGAGTGTCCACTCAAGGCCAAGGTCACCTTGGAAAAGGAGGGTGGGGGCCTTTGAAGGGTCTCTCTCTCTCTCTCTCTCTTTCACCCAGAGCCTCCCAGGTCAGGAAAGATGATCTCAAAAATAGCACCGTTCCTTCCGAGCTGCCACCATCTGAACGCACTTACAAACCTGCTTCAGGGACTGAAGGAGAACTGTCCATCAGGACACCCCGGGCGCCCCGCCCCGCCTGCTCATCACCACCCGCAAAGTTGCCACAAGAACACACTAGCTTTGGGGCTGAAGTGGCTGCAGGCCAGCGGGGCAGCCATCAGCAAGATCCCTGACACTTTGGCCAAGATCTCCACATGGGCCCGAGGGTAGCTCCCTGCAGACGACCACTCCCACCCGGTCAGGTACCTGAAAGCGCACGGCCCGACCAACACCTCTCCAGGCTGGCGCTTGTTGCTCACCTCCCTGGGGCACCCTTGCTGCTGCGGGAGATGGGCAGCAGGGGGTCTGGGAAGAGTGCCTTTGGGAGCTGGGAGCTGCAGGGAGGA